CAAATTCAAGAATATGTAAATTATATCAAGGATCTCTTCTTATTACAGTGAGGTGAAACTAAAAATCAATAACAGGAAGAAAGCTAGAAAATTCACAAACACATGAAAATTAAATTAAACAACATGCTTCTGATCAAAGAAGAAAACAAAAGGAAAATAAAAAATATCTTGAGACAGACAAAAAAAGAAACACAACATACCAAAACTTAAGGGGCATAGCAAAAGCAGTGCTAAGAGGGGAACTTACAGTGATAAATGCATACATGAAGAAAAAGAATCTCACATAAACAATAAAGCTTTCCACCTCAAGGAACTAGAAAAGAAGAACAAACTAAACCCAAAATTGACGGAAGGAAATAATAAAGATTAGAGCAAAAATAAATGAAATAGAGTATAGGAAAACAATATAAAAGATTAGCAACACTGAGCTGGTTCTATGAAATGATAAACAAAATTGACAAACCTTTAGCTAGACTAACCAAGAAAAACAAAAAAGGGTGTCTGGATGGCTCTGTCAGTTAAGCGTCTGACTCTTGATTTTGGTCCAGGTCCTGATCTTAGGTTTATGAGATCAAGGCCTGTGTCAGACTCTGTGCTCAGCATGGAGTTTGCTTGAAATTTTCTCTCCTTCTCCCTCTGTCCCTCCCACTTGTGCATGCACTCCCGCACTCTCGCTCTCAAATAAATGAATCTTTAAAAAAAAAAAAAAAGGCGAGCCCAAATTAATAAAAATTATAAATGAAAGTGGAGACATTACAAGAAATACAAAGGATCATAATAGCATACTATAAAGAAAAGGATCAATGTCTAGAAACATGCAACCTACGTAGACTGAATTATGAAGAAACAGAAAATATGAACAGACCAGTAACGAGTAAGGAGGCAGAATCAGTTATCAAAACCCTCCCAACAAAGAAAAGTCTAGGACCAGATGGTTTCACAGGTGAAATGTACCAAACATTTGAAGCCAATTCTTTTCTCACTCTCCCAAAAATATGAGGAGAAGGAAGTACTCTCAAACTCATTTTATAAGGCGAGAAATACCAAAGCTAGATAAGGACACCACTAGAGGAGAAAACTATAGGCCAACGCTCATGATCAATAGAGATGCAAAAATTCTCAATAGAGTACTAGCAAACCAAATTGAACAGCACATTAAAGGGATCATACACCATGATTTAGTTTGATTCATCCCTGGCATGCAAGAATGATTAAACATATGCATATAAAAATAAATATGATATATTACTAGAATGAAATATAAAAATAATATCATCTCAATAGATATAGAAAAAAACATTTCACAAAATTCAAAGGAGAAAAACTCTCAACCAAGGGTATGTATAAAAGAAATGTACCTCAACATAATAAAGACTATATGATATCATACCCAATGGTGAAAGGCTAAAAGCTTCTCCTCTAAGATTTAAAACAAGACAGGGATGCCCATTCTCACCAGCCCTATTGAGATAATGCTGAAAATCCTAGAGAGACTAATCAGGCAAGAAAAAAATAGAAGGAAAAAAAAAAATATATATATATATATAGTCAGAAATGATGATATAAAGTTCTTTGTTTGTAGATGACATAATCTTACATATAAAAATCCTAAAAATCCCACCAAAAAACTGTTAGAACTAATAAATTCAGTAAAGTTGTAGGAAAACAATTTAACATGCAAAAACCAGTTGCATTTCTATACACTAACCATGAATTTTCTGGAAAAAAAGATTTCCTTTAGAATAACATCAAAAACAACAAAATATTTAGGAATAAGCTTAACCAAGGAGCTGAAAGATCTTTACATTGAAAACTGTAAGACTCAGGTGAAAGACATTGAAGAAGACACAAATAAATGGAATGCCATCCCACAGTTATAGATTGGAATAATGAATATTGTTAAAATGAGCATACAACCAAAGGTATCCATAGATTCAATACAATCCCTATCAAGATCCAATGGCACTTTCTATAGATAGAGAAAAAACAATTCTAAAATTTGTAAGGAACCACAAAAGACCCCAAATAGCTGAAACAATCCTGAGAGAGAACAAAGCTGAGGGTATGACACTTCTTGATTTCAGACAATGACACAAATCTTCAGTGATCAAAACCATATGATGCTGGCGTGAAAACAGACACATAGACTAATGGGACAGAGTGAGAGCCCAGAAATACACCCATGCTTATGTGGCTAACTAGTGTTTGACAGGGGAGCCAAGAATACCCACTGGGGAGAGGATAGTCTCTTCAAAAAGCAATGTTGGAAAAACTGGATATTCATTCACATGCAAAAGAGTGAAACTAGTCCCCTATTTTACACCACTTACAAAAAATTAACTCAAAATAATGTATTAAAGACTTAAATGTAAGACCTGAAACCATAAAGTTCCTAGAAGAAAATGTAGGGAAAATCTTTTTGACATTGATCTTGGTGATGATTTTTTAGATATAACACCAAAAATACAACCACCAAAACCAAAAATAAACAAGTTGGAACAAATAAAACTAAAAAGTTTCTGCAAAGCAAAAGTAATCAACCAAATGAAAAGGCAATCCTCTGTAATGGGAAGAAATATTTGCAAACCACATATCTGATAGGGTTAATAGCCAAAATATATAGGTAATATGTAGGTAACTCCTACAACTCAACAGCAAAAAAAACCCACAAAAAAAACAAAAAACCCAAATAATCCAACTTTAAAAATGGGCAAGAAACCTGAATAGACATTTTTCCAGAGGAGATATTGAAGTTGCCAAGAAGTACATGAAAAGATGTTTGATATTACCAGTCATTATGGAAATGCAAATCAAAACCACGATGAGCTATGTCCTCACACCTGTTAGAATGGCAATTATCAAAAAAGACAAAAGTTAACAAGTACTGGCAAGGAGGTAGAGAAAGAAGAACCCTCATGAACTACTGGTGAGAATATAAATTGGTATCATCGCTATGGAAAATATTATGGATGTTTCTCAAAAAATTAAAAATAGAACTACCATGTGATCCAGGAATTCCTCTTCTGGGTTAGGTTTCAGAAAGAAATGAAATCACTATCTTGAAGAGAAATCTCCACTCCCCACGTTCACTGAAATGTTATTCACAACAGTGAATGCATGGAAGCAACCGAAATACCATCAGTAGATAAATGGATAAAGAAAATGGGGTATATATACACAATGGAATATTATTCAGCCATAAGAAAGGAAATACTGCCATTTCCAACAACATGGTTGAACCTTAAAGTCATTATGCGAAGTAAAATAAGTCAGTCAGACAAAAACAAATGTTGTATGACCTCACTTATATGTGGACTCTAAAAAAACTGAACTCACAGAAACAGCGTAGATGAGTGGTTGCCAGAGGTGGGATGATGGTGAGGGAAATGGATGAAGGTGGTCAAAGGGTACAAACTTCTGATTATAGGTGAACATTTCCTAGAAATGTGACGTTCAGCATGGTGACTGTAGTTAACAATACTTTGTTGCATATTTGAAAATTGCTAAGAGAGTAGATGTTAAAAGTTCTCAACACATGCACACACACACATATTGTCACCATGTGAGGTGATAGATATTAGTTAAACTTACTGTGGTGATCATTTCACAATATATACATATATCAAATCATCACATTGTGCATCTTAAACTTACCCACTGTTGTTCTAAGTCAATTATATCTCAATAAAGCTAGAAAAAACAGTTTTGAGTACTTGGGGAAAAGTACATCAAAATGCTATAACTTTTTAGAATGCATTGATTATGTTCCTACACCTAACACTACTTCCAAATGTATATCCTTGTACGTAAGGCACTTTAAGACCTAGAATTTACTTAGTGTCTCATTCACAGATGTGTCTGTCTTTATCTTTGAGCAAATACTGAGTTCAGTTTTATATTTTTTAGACCAGCAGTTCTTGTGATAACTCCCACATAGCTGAAAGAGGTTACACGAGAGATCTGAAAGACTGTTTAGTGAAATAGAGATATTTTTTATAGATTCTATCTTCTGTCTAGGTCATAGAATCTCCAAATATTAATCAAAGGCACCGTTACTGCATTCGACAATAAGCTAATGTTTGCACGGAAGACATTGAAATGTGGTGTTAAAGAGAAGTACAAGAAGAGTACACACACACAAACATAAATTTCAGCTATTTGAATAACTTGAGGATTTATCTTTAGAACAAGCGAAAAGCTAGGCACATCCAGGAATTGTTTTAAAGACAAGGAAAATACATTAAGAACCTTGATGAATATGGCAAGAAAAATACCAGTAGCCTCACTTTTAATAATGAAATTCCTTGAACTAATTGAGTTAAAAGCTCAATGAAAAAAATAATGTACATTTTGCATTTACATTTACATGCAGTTAATGACATTGCGGTTAATGTGAAGACTGTACATGGTGGGATACTGGGGAAATTCAGTGCCTCACTTATCATCATCTTCTCTCTGTTTCTGTCCTACCTTTAAAATGGCTCACTGGGGAAGCTATTGATGTTATGATGTCCTATAGGATAGAGAACTTCAGTTTTTTAAACCTGGTACTTTTTAATGATGGTGGAGTTAACTGTTTAAAGAGTTTGCAGAACTTTGGAGATGAAATCCCAGTTCTTAAGTGCCAGCTCCTAACAAGAACACATATTCCTTTGACTGACTGATTGATCAATGCATTGAAATGGAAGTGATATATCTGTAGAGTCTGGGGCAAGATTTCTTGCTCAACCACTACAAAAGCCAATATTATCCTTCATGTAGTCTATTTCATTTGTTCTGTTTATATCTTGGCATTGCTCACATGGCCAATATATCTCTAGCTTCATTTTCTCCCATCTTTGAGCTCGCCATTTTTCATAAACGACGTTGGAGAAACCTCGTGCATCCAAGGAAAGGAGATACTTGTCAAGGGTTGGCCTCATCACGTTTTAGTGAATCCAATTGCAGTTTCTCTCATCTGCATCCAAGTATTTGAATAAAGCATGTCTCGTTCCCCACAGGAGCTTCAGAGAGACATCGAGAAACACAGCACGGGCGTGGCCTCCGTGCTCAACCTGTGTGAGGTCCTGCTGCATGACTGCGACGCCTGTGCCACAGACGCAGAGTGTGACTCCATCCAGCAGGCGACGCGAAACCTGGACCGGCGTTGGAGGAACATCTGTGCCATGTCCATGGAAAGAAGGCTCAAGTAAGGGGCACAGCTCAAAGAGCTGGGAAAGAGGAAGGACCCAAAAGAGGGGCAAAAAAAAAATACCCAGACTATCCCATTTACCATTTCCTTTTAGTTGCAGCGTCTAAAAGGAGCACTGGTGTCCCAAACTTGCCATCATCTACATTTAGTTGGGAAAATAAGTAGGCATAAAGGTCCTACAGCAGTCCCCCCACCCCCACCCCACCAACCTTATCCATGGTTTCTCTTCCCATGGCGTCAGTTACGCAGGGTCAAGCAGGATGCAGAAGCAGAGGATCCTCCTGATGTACGGTCAGAAGGTCCACAGTAGCCCAACACTAGCCACAATGCCTACATCATTTGCATAATTTCATCTATCACGTAGGCATTTTATCATCTCTCATCATCACAAGGGAGGTGAATACAGGGGTGCCTGGGTGGCTTAGTCAGTTAAGTGTCTGCCTTGGGCTCAGGTCATGATCACAGGGTTCTGGGATGGAGCTCTGTGGCCTACCTTCAAGCTCCCTGTTCAGTGGGGAGTCTGCTTCTCCCTCTCCCTCTGCCCCTCACCCCTACTTATGCCTTATCTCACGTGCTCTCTCTCTCAAATAACTAAAATCTTAAAAAAAAAAAGGATGAATGCAGTACAGTAAGATACAAGAGACTACATTCACACAAGTTTTATTACAGTATGATTGTTCTATTTTATTATTGGTTGTTGTTGCTAATCTCTTACTGTACCTAATCTATAAATTAAACTTTAACATAAGTATGTCTAGGATGAAACATAGTATATATAGGGGTTCAGTACTACCCACAGCTTCACACATCAACCGGGAGTCTTGGAACAGATCTCTCACAGATGGGGGCAGGGCACTACTATATATAAATATACTGTATACAAATACAATATGCTATAATGTCTAAAACAGTTATGCCTGACCTAACAGTTTAAATATAATTCAGAAAAGTAAAACTACAACCTTGCTGGATAAGTCTATTGTTCTAGAACTGGTGGAGTGAAAAGTAATATTCTTTTATTAAAAATGAAATAAAAACACAAAGACCTTATCTTTGTTTAGAAAAACCCTTTGAAATTCAAGGCATAAGCAATAGTGATGGGTTAGAAAATAATCATAATGATGGACAACATATAATCTTTTTTGATTATATGTTTGGAGAACTCTGGAAAGATTAATATTTGTCTTGCTATGATAGGTTACTTTGAGGAGGGTGAATTTGATGTCAGAACTTACATGCATTTTGAGACCTTTGTTTTATTTCAGTGGAACCATGACACGAGTATGCCCTGCACACCCGGCCTTACCCTTCTGAGCTGCCCTGCACGTACACAGAACAGTTCACATTACGTGCTTGTAAGGCACAATTTGACTAATTCCAAATCCAGAACTCCAGGATGTATATTTAAAAAAAAACAAAAAACCAAAAGCAAACAAAAAAAGCCCCAAACTCTCACAGCTGTTCCATTTTCGCTCAGACAGTTGTCTCTTTCTCAGTGTGCTCGCATTTGGCTGACGGCACAATGATTGCTTGGCACAACCCTCGCTCGTTTGGGCACTCTTAATCCCACGGCAGGCATCAGGGTTCTGGAGGAGTAACAGCCCCAAACAATCAGAGCCTGTTTTTTGTTTTGTTTTGTTTTGTTTTGTTTTCATTTTCTGTCTCAGAATCGAAGAGACGTGGCGATTGTGGCAGAAGTTTCTGGATGATTATTCTCGTTTTGAAGATTGGCTCAAGATTTCAGAAAGGACAGCTGCCTTCCCCAGCTCTTCCGGGGTCCTCTATACAGTTGCCAAGGAGGAACTAAAGAAATTTGAGGTGACTTATCATTCCAAATATTTGATCCTTATTTTGCTATGAGCATATCCAGTTAGTGGTTCGTGTCTCAAGACACAAACTGACTGTTCACCTGCACGGTATCTGTTCGGACAGTTGGGTGGTGACTTTGCGGTGATCTTTATTACCGCCTGACAGGTAGGCAAAGAAGGGGGAAAAAGAGGTTTTTCTGTTAGGAGTCTCAAGAATTACAAACAAAGTCATACTGGCAAGAATTTCTATTACAAAGCACAAATCATGATTCCCAAAAGAAGATCTTCGCATTTTTTTTTCATTTCATAGTCCTTTACTATCAGATATCTGAGATGAAAATATGATGTTTCATACTATGAAAATCTCTCTTCCAAATTTATTTTCTTGATTTTCATTTTATCTAATTAGAGAACAGGTATATATAGATATATATATTTTTTTAAATCATTGATACAGTAGAGTTGGCTCCAAAATTAAATAAAACACTTTAATTATAAGCCACTTCTAATTAATAATGAAAAGCAGTGCCATTCTTGAGTCCGCAGGACTTTTCCGTTACAGAGACAAAAATAGCAGCAGTATAATCATATTCGCAGAGGGATCTGCCCAGTAACTGCCTCTTGCCTGCCTGTGCGATCTTGCGTCCGCTCTCCCCGTGAGATGATACGGCCCAAGCAGCTGCATCCCGTTTTCATGGAGGACCGGCCATCGCCTAAAGATCAGCATGTTTTAGTTTGAAGTTTGTTCTCCATCAGTTCCCACTGACAGGCAGATATGCACCCATAGATACCGACAGCAAAGTCCTGATGCATGTATCTTACCAAAAGCATTCTTGGTTGCTAATTCTGCCGCAAGCTCCCTGAGATGCTTAAAAGTAAGACTAAAAATCCAGCCAAATCCAGCCGAATTTATTTTTACCTTGTAATGTCAGTTTACCTGGCATTTCCTGAGGCCTATTAGAGTAAATATGAAGTTTGGTTTCTGTGCTTGTGGGATTTAAAATCAAAGAGTCTTAGGTGAGCAGCTATAGGAATCTTAAAAAAAAAAAAAAAAAAAGCCCCAATACTATGTAAAGTAAATAAGAGTTAGTCTGATGTCAGATATGGGCTTATGCATAACTATACCACCAAATTCCAGGAAAATAATTTTGTATCTAAAACGTTTTCCCATAGAAAATTTCTCGTGAAAAGCCACAGTAGGCATACAGTCAAGTTCAAGTCGTCCTGGTGTGAGCCAGAGCCAGGGAGGCATTCATGTACTCTGTCTCACCACACTCTGCTTCGTAAAGGTTAAACCTTCTATAATTGGCTTGTACTACAAAGCAGATTATGCTTGGTTGTTTTTGATGCTATTTTAGACTCTCAGATTTTATGGCAAAAGTTAGCCATATGGTTAGCTTCTATAATAAATGATTTTATCATTTATCTTTTAATGTTCTTTCTTAAGAGAAAAATAAATTTAATAATTTAAAAAAATGTTGTTTGAGGACAGTCTTTTCCTGTTCAAATGCGTAAAATTTGGGATGGATCTGAGTACCCCTGTGTGGCGCCTACCATCACTCCAGTGGGAAAACATATTCTATGACTCCCGGTAATGGCAAAAGCTGAATTTTTCTTATTGCTTCCTTTTCTGGGGAAGTAATTGAAATTGTTTTATAGAATAGGGGGTTAGACTTACTAAGACAAAGTCTCTTAAAGCAGCTCTCAGAAGGAAAGCCATATCAGAGGCACAGATGTAGTAGCAAGTAAACAGTGTATGAATGAAAGGAAGCGGAATTTTGTGATTTAGATGAGTACAGATCACTTGATTGTCCAGTTTTCTGCCCAATGTCAAGATCAATGTCAGTCATAAATCATACACATGAATTTGGAAAAAAAAAAACATTTTATTTTGGTCAAATGATTCTTATGGTAGGACTGTGTTACACTGCAGAGAGAAAGAAGAAAGAGTATTTTACTTCAAAAATTCCAAAATTCCAAATGGTTACATAGGGTAACCATAAAAATAAATAGACACAAGTGGATTGGACTATGTTTTAATCATTTAAAAACTAACTTTTCATCATTAAAAGTGATGGTATAGTTATGAAATTTGCCCAAGATATGCGAACTGGGCCAGGAATGGAGTACAATTGCTAGAACATGGTAGAAATAAGTGATTGTAAAAGAAAATTAAATAAATAAATAAACAAATAGACACTGCCATGTAAGCTGGTACATATCAGCTCTAAAATGTTTTATTAAAACTGAGTAATTCATGGGAATGATAAAAAAGAAACAGAGCATGTTCCAAATTTTCCTCTATTTAAGGTTACTTGTGTTTTACTAAACTGCTCTTCTTAAAAGTTAATAAAAGCTTGCCTTTAGACATCTTCTTAAAAAATGGGTTTAATTATTTTAATGGACATCAGAATTAAAGATGTTTCTGGATTTTTAGGAGGTTACATCTTTCACAGATAGAGCATTCTTTTGCGGATAAGAAAATATCTTTTCTCTGTGTTGACATCAGAGATTTCTGAACCTTTCAGACGCACATTTCAGCACACATAGATATCTGGGTAATCAGTTTTATTCACGTGAGAATTTTTTCCGGAATGTTCAGTATTTTAAAAGCTGTAACATAGGAACATGTATACATCATACATATATATGTATTTGTATATATACGTATATAATTATTCCTATTTACCAATTTCTTTCATATTTTTGTTCACTCTACGCCCTGTCCTTAAGCCACACAGATCCCGTTACTCTGCTTTAATAAGGGGAAATAAACTCTCCTTAGAAATTGTCCTTTCCCTCTCACTGCAGGATAAGGCCGGGTGCCCTTGCTGAGAGCCCTTCACTGACCCCCTCACTGATGTGCTTCTCTGCGGTCCTAGGCTTTCCAGCGACAGGTGCACGAGAGCCTGACCCAGCTGGAGCTGATCAACAAGCAGTACCGTCGCCTGGCCAGAGAGAACCGCACCGATTCCTCCTGTAGCCTAAAGCAGATGGTTCACGAAGGCAACCAGCGATGGGACAACCTGCAAAAACGTGTCACCTCCATCTTGCGCAGACTCAAGGTCTTTATCATGCCTCCCCTGTCGCTTAGAGACCCAGAGGGCCCTTCGAACATATTAAGACATAATCTCAGTGACTTTGCAAGATTGGGATGGCGAGAGCGGTTTGTATGGTAGTTTGTATGGTAAAGGATTACAGGGGTCTCATTGCTCATTGAGAAGGTGACTTTCCAGAAGAACATCGCAGTTGGCAGTGTCATCTCCATGCGCACCACGTGGACTTCACTTTTTTATCATTTTCTTTTCACGTCCAGCATTTCATTGGCCAGCGTGAGGAGTTTGAGACTGCGCGGGACAGCATTCTGGTGTGGCTGACGGAGATGGATCTACAGCTCACGAATATCGAGCATTTTTCTGAGTGTGATGTTCAAGCTAAAATAAAGCAACTCAAGGTAAGATAGTAGAGATTTTTCAAATTGGGAAGAAGATGCGAAGAGGAAGGGATTTATAGATCCTTTTGTAAAGAACATAGTAAAGAACTCTTTTTTTTTTTTTTTACTTTTTAAAAAATTTTTTATTTTTTGCAATAGCTTTATTTATATAAACTATTTTTGTTTTAATATTTCAACTGGATATATTTAATGTGAAGTATACATTATTAATTCTTCTCCACTAATATTAGCTTGCCTATAGTGCTGTACAGGATATAATACAAATATTCTAAATTACAATGTATTAATACACTAATACATTAATTTTGATTTTTATAAGCAAATGTTTGTTGCCTGATAGAGAACACTTTTATCCTTGCTTTCACTAAGTATCCAATAGGTTTCTGAATTTTTAAAAGTTTATAATAATGTTATGGGATAGGAAATATTTCTGTTATCAATTTGTTATACGATAAAAGCCACAGAGAGGTTAATTTGTTTGATCAAAGTCACAGAGCTAAAAACTTCTTCGGTAACTGTATGGGTGCATTTCCAAGTTCAATTATTCCATTATTCCACTCTTCATTTATTTCAATAAGTTTTACTTTGCAGAAATACAGTATGCTGACGGAATCATGTCAAATCCATGGTTTGTAATTTAAAATTATTACAAGCTTGTGCATGACTGCAGGGAATTCATTTGATGAACGTTAAGAAACTATTTATGTACTGGACACTTTTATACTTTGGAAGTTTGAAAAATAAAATATAAGACTACCTGACTATTACTTTTTCCAGGAGAAAAATCTCATCTAAATCATTTGTTCAATAGAATCTGCACATACAATTTCCCAATTTTCTGTATTTTATTAAATTGAACTAGTTGGAAATTAAAATTTCAAATTATTACAAAAAAACCTAGGATTTTCCATTACAAAAAAACCCCAGTCATTTAAAGTAATAAATAATCAAGTAATTTAATGGAAAGGGCCATTATGAAAAATAATTTTTTTCATTTTAACATTCTAGCTGCAACACAAATTATTAAGCTAAAATAGTTGAGTTTTATTTTAATTAGGTTAAGCATTTGTTTATAATTATGTTTGATTATAACGTAAATATTCTTAGCGGGCCTATTTCATATGAATTAAACTCTAATTGGCTTCAGGTCAAATTTTCAAAAGAATCTGAATTAGTTGATGCTAATCTATGTGTATATATTCTTTTTTTATATTCTTTTTAAAAATTTAATTTAATTTAATTTAATTTTTGTGTATGTGTTACAAAATTCACTGTCTGTGCCCCACACCCAGTGCTCCATGCAATACATGCCCTCCTTAATACCCACCACCAGGCTCACCCAACTCTTGAAAAAAATTAGTTCTCGATTGAAAAAAAATTCAGAAAACACAAAATGTATTAAAAATGAAATAAAGAACATTACTCAGAAATAACTACCATTAGTCTATATATTTTTAGTTATTAACTTCATTGTGAGGGTATTAGGAATCTTTTTTGGGGGGGTGTTGTTTTTGTTTTCATTTTCCTGCTTTGTTTCTAACACCTTCAAATAGTTTGACCTCCACGTTCCAACTTGTTCATGTTAGGGTTTCATTCCACATATTCTCCATCCTTAGATGCCAAGTTAATTTTTAAACATATTTGATATGTTTCACCCACAGTTCAAACACAGTGGCTAATTAAAAATTTAAATAGGAGTGATAACACAGTAGATATGAGGAGACCCTGGAAAGGAGAGTGTTTTAACAACTTGAGTATCGTGCAAGGATAAATACTCAGGATGAAAAAATCATAGATTCTGATAGATTTTCAGGATGAAAAACAAAATGGTAAAATAACAAACCCTGAGCGTGTACCCGACCCCTCCCCCACTAACTCTTCGGAGTCCCAGTCGTTTCTCAGACAAATGGGAAACAAACAGGAAATTTCTACCAAGTGGTAGTTGAATCTTTTCTTTTTAGACTCTGGCGAGGTCACAGAACTCCCTACCGTGCTCCCTTCCCCCCAGCAGCCTTTTCATTCGTAAATAATTGCAACTGTCCCAGAGTTTATTCTTGTATTGAATTAAAATTTATCCCCGAAATCTGACGCCACCAGCTTATCTCTTTTCAATTATAGAATGAGTCTAAATAATCTCCCAGAATTCGTTGTTTTTCACATCTTCATAATCTTTCCTGATTATGTCCTGAACCAATAAAAGAATCATCTGAGAAGAATTTGTGACACTATCATTTGAATGGTTTCTCTTAGTCATGTTTGACATATGATCAGAAAATCTAAAATTAAAGTATTTAATTAAGTCTCTAAAATAAATTTATTTCGGTGGCGCTCTATGGCTTGCCATGGCTTTTCATTAGGGATAACCAGTGCTATCAACTTTATGATGGGTTTAAATGTTTTTTCCTGTGATTCTTTACCCACACTGTCTGTGGCAGTAAATTTCATTAGCCAAAGGCGCCTTTCTGGTCATGGAATTCTGACGATTCTATTTCTGAGTCCTGTTCTGATTTAAAATTTTTGTGTTTGACTTCAGAAAGTAATAGCTTCTTGGCTTGTCACTGTATATGGTAAATTCAATATCCCCTGCATGGTTTTTCTAAATATATATCTTATTTATGTCACTGTGAACAATAAAAAAAAAATTACGCGAGATTTGTGTTCCCTAGGCCTTTCAGCAGGAAATTTCACTGAACCACAATAAGATCGAACAGATAATTGCCCAAGGAGAGCAGCTCATAGAGAAGAGCGAGCCGTTGGATGCCGCAGTCATCGAGGAGGAGCTGGACGAACTCCAGCGTTACTGTCAGGAGGTCTTCGGGCGCGTGGAGAGATACCATAAGAAACTGATTCGCCTGCCTGTATGTGATCTGTTTTTTGTTTTTTTGTTTTTTTTTTTTTCATTTTCACTAAGTCTAAAGAGAAGTAGTTGCATGGCGTTAGTTAGCACTGGACAGTGGCCAAAATCCCAGACTCAGGAGCTAGAATACTGGGGTTCCAGTCTGAGCTCTGACGCATGTTGGCTACGTAACCTTGGGCAAGTTACTCCCCATCTCTTGCCTTGGTGTCCTCAAATGTGACAGTGGTTTAATACTTCCTTGTAGACAGGACTGCTTCGGGTATGAAACAAGTTAATACATAATGTAAAACCTTAAGGAGTACTTGGCACACATCTTCTGTGGAAGATAAAGACGCTTCTAGAAGAAATAGGGAGACGAAAGTGAGAAATGGAAACAGTTGCTCAATTGATGAAGTTGTTTAGTTGAATTTTTTTTCTCTCCCCCATTCCTAACTGCTACCATAACCACACCACAAAATGTTATTAGAATATTTGGAATATTCTGTGATTAAAAAAAAATATTTTGCATCTGGGATATAAGGTAAAAAAAGACCAGGTAAAGTTTTATTAGTAATTTCCTTTTGTTCGTGAAATGTGCCATTGTGTAACTGTTGTGTTGCAGGCATGCTACTAGGCTGCCTTTATTTACATTATCTTATTTAATCTTAATTATTTGAAGTATGTTTTAATATTATTTCCATTTCAACAGGGATAAAAACTGGAGCTTTGGTAGGTTAATTTATAAGACATTTTTAAAAGTGATTGGAGGATTCTTACTTATTTGCTGATAGAAAGTTATAAATTATCCCCACTGAGGTAAGAATATGGCCCAGATAAGCTCGAACACTGAGATTGGGTGAAAGGCAGAACAGGAAGTGGTAAGGGCATCACCTGACCGCTGCAGTAATGGAGTTGGCTTGACTACATTTCTAGCTCCCAGATGATGAGCATGACCTCTCTGACCGGGAGCTGGAGCTGGATGACTCCGCAGCTCTCTCCGACCTCCACTGGCGTGACACCTCTGTGGACGGCGTGCTTTCCCCCCAGCCTTCCTCCAACCCCTCCCTCTCACTCGCCCAGCCCCTGCGGAGCGAGCGGTCAGGACGAGACACCCCTGCCAGTGTGGACTCCATCCCCCTGGAGTGGGACCATGACTATGACCTCAGTCGTGACCTGGAGTCTGCTGTGTCCAGAACGCTGCCCTCTGAGGACGAAGAGGGTCAGGATGATAAGGATTTCTACCTCAGGGGAGCTGTTGGCTTATCAGGTAAGACAGAGCTCTTCCGATAGGCCAGCTTGAAAGAAAATAAAAGGGACTGCGTATCGTATTTGAAATGTGTAAACGAAGAACAATCCTCTTCTTCCTTTCTCCATGAGAGTAAATTGCACATCATAGAATAATCAGGTATTAATGTGATTACCAGAGACAAAAATTGGCATGGCCATTGGTTTATCCCAAATACACTTACGTTCTTACTGTGTGACAAGCACTGTGTACGTATTAAGGATACATGGTTCCTTTTGTTCTCAAAGAGCTTACACTCTAGTGTGAAACACAGACAGGTAAGCAACACCTATGTGAAGTGTTGGTGCTCAGACAGTAACGGACACAGACAGGGTGGTACAGAGACACTGCCAAGCGGTGTCCAACCAGAGCTTTGAGGAAAGGCTTTAGGGAAAAGACTCTTGAGCTGAGACTCAGAGCTCACGACAGTTGGTCAGATAGACACAGCGAAGTTCAGAGGTAGAGAGGAGAGGTTGCCCACCTAGCTTTATGATCAGAGCTTTGGTCACCCAAAATTTGTCTGGAATGACAAGGCTGTAGCCTGAGAGACACAGAGCAAACAAAGAGGAGGTGGAAAGGCAAAACGAAGACCTGGTCGGACAGCAGCCTACTTGCTGTGGAAGGGAATTCTCTCCCGAAGGCGCTGGAGCACCATCGCAGATCTCTAAGGAGGAGGTGACATGACCAGATACGTACTTCCACCGAACCTGTCTCAGTACGGTAGGGAAGGGATCGCATGGGAGAAGGGCTCAGGTGGAAACATTTTATGATTAAGGACAGAGAGACCATGGTGGCCTGAACTAAGGAACAACACTGGGGATGGAGAGAATAGAAGAGAAGTGACAAATCCTGACAAGTCTCTTCCTTACGTCATGGTTGATTGAACTGGGATTGAGGCAACTTCCGGACTTGGGTATCCTGGGGAAAGGTGCAGGTCGCTCAGGGCCCTGAGGACCTCAAGAGGGAGAGAAGGTTGTGGGTGCCTATGGGCTGGGGGCAGGGCAGCGAGAAAAGGGTGCTGATTCGGTTGTGCACACCCTGAATTTGAGATACAGTAGAATAGACCAAAGGAATACTCAGCAATAGATGCATGGTCTGAAATTCCAGAACTGGAAATGCGGATTGGGTGACAGTCCATGTACACACGGTAATTGTTCACGAGGGAAGGGAGAAAATCACCCAGGAAAAATGTATAAAGCAAAACAAGAAAGACAAAACCCCAGGAAGCACATATAGTGAAGGGGTGGGCAGAGAAAGAGGAACGTTATAAGGAAAATGAGTAAAAATAGAATAATCAGAGGCAAATCCACGGCACTTATAGATGTGTCTCACACGTTCTCCAAAAGGCTGTATCTGCTTGTCTCTGGTGGTTCACATTTGGATTCCCCAGGGTATATCACTGTCTAAAAAGAAAATGATTTCCCTCATTTCTGTTTAGTTTTTACAGTAGCGCCTAATAAGCATTTCTTGTTTATAGCAGAGCTCTCAAGTATACAGCCATCAGCCACATGTGACTGAACATACTGAGCCCTGAAATGTGACTACGCAAAATGGAGATTTGCCATGTCAAATGTACTTAGGTTTTACAAGTTTCAAAGACTCAGCACAAAGAAAGAATGTAAAATAATAACAATATTTATGGTAGTTACACATCATAATTCGGATATATTGGTTTAGCAAAGTAAAGCACCGAAATTATTTTCATCTGTTTCTTGTTACTTTTTTAAATGTGGCTCTTAGAGCCTTTAAAATGACATGTGGCTCACCTTATTTCTACGAGACAGCGCTGCTCTAGAATCCGTCTGGATTAAATCTCAGTTCCGCCAATTATTACCTGTTGATACTGGGATAGGTCTTTGAATTCCTCTGGATCTCAGCTTTCTCGGCAATAAAATGGGAATAAGACTTCCCTGAACCCTATAGGGTTTCTTCAAAGATAAATGCGTGCTTAAAACAGTGCTTGGCTCCAGAAAGCACCCTCAGTGGGAGCTCTGACGATTTTATTTTAGGAAACCTTTGGTACGTGTGTTCACACTCCTCTGCATATTCAAGAGCTGTCTGTCTAGAGCGACTAACTTCCTTTTTTTCCCTAGGAAGGTTATTTCCCGCCACAAGGAATCTAGCTGTCAACTTAGACTGTGCTCTTTTTGCAGATGTAATGATCCCCGAAAGTCCTGAAGCCTATGTAAAACTCACAGAAAGTGCAATCAGAAATACCTCTGGTAGGCACCAAAAGCCAAAGCAAGCCCCCCTCCCTCACCTGTAACAAACCTCCTCTCCGAGCACATCTGCTGTCCCTCTCGCAGCTCTGTGGCACTGGCATGTTAAGGAACCACCTCCTCCTTTCACTGCTGCAGTAGAAAGAAACAAACAAAACCTAAAACTATTCTGTTGATCAACACCAAGAATAAGATTTTAGTAATCAAGTTGCAGTGAAATAACTTCTCAACTTGTTAAATGGGAATGAGTCCCATTAGGTACAGACCTCTGCTGCCCACGCACGGCAGAAAGTACTTGATGGAAGCACTAGTGTTTCGGCATCTGTGCCCCGGCACCCTGCTTCAGGGTAGCCACACTGACTTTATGACTTCCAGATCTCAGGGCTCCCGTCCCACACCCACCCAGCCTGCACATGTGACCTCAGGCCCCCCATTCATTGTCCTCATCTCAAGGGCCACATACAAAACGAGGGGTGAGACCAGATGTCTGGCTCTAAAAAAAAATTCTAATCGACCTTAATAAGGCATACTGCATAAAATAAAGAAAGGAGAATTGAACCAATTTTGTTTCATGTTACACTAGATTAACTACAGTTCAGCATAATTGAGCAGTTTGGGGGAAGGTGGAGAGAATAGGGTTCAACCACAACGATGAATATTGAATTGCAAAGGTGTTAGTTTACAATTAGTCTTTGAAGCAAAGTCGTGTTAGCGAAACAGTGACTTTCTGAGTGACCCCAGTGAGAGACCTCATCCAGGTGTATTTGGAAGCCTTTAAAAAAATAATTCATAAAGCTTACTAATACATGTTCTGCTCTCACCCTGTGTCAGCTTCACTCTGACCACCAACATTCTTGTTCAGTTCGTTCAGAAATCCTAGCACACGCACATTTTGCATACACACACCTCACACTTGGAAAGGCGATGAGCCGAGAGTTCCGGGCTCTGACAAAAAGCATGCTTCGAGGCAAACGCTGAAATCTTGGCTTTCTCCCAGTTTGGGTTTGGGTTTTAAACAAAAGCCAGCCCTTGGTTGTTTGGCTTCTCCACCCATACGTAACCCAAGCCAGTCTTAAGTGAATGAGGCAGCCACGGGTGACTGTCTTCCACCGAGCACGCGGTCTTCTGTGGAGATGCAGAAAGAAAACAGAGGATTGTGCCTTTTTCTGCTTGATAATGCCTGCAGAGGGAATATGAGACATAACTGCCTCTTGGTTTGGGGGAGCAGAAGGCACCTTGTTAGGCTTCTGGAGAGGCCATCCACAGCCTAGAGCTTGTAGATTCTCAGGGAATCTGCTGGAAGCAGAAAGGACACCCAGGCTGGTAGAGCCCGCTGCAGAACCTCTTTGCAGTATCGGGCCTGGTAGCCAACCACATTCATTGATCGGTCTGGTCTTTGAACGTCTTAACTCACCAGCGCGTTAGTACTAAATTTGCTTTGTAATGACGCACACATACGCCATTCCTGTACCGCCTTAACCGAAGTAATTTCTCCAACTGCTCCTTGACTGTCAAGCGTGTTAAAGGTTCTTGTGGTTAACACCGCAGGAGCTCCCAGTGCCTTAGAGTCACAGATCCGACAACTGGACAGAGCCTTGGATGAGAGCCGTTTTCAGATGCAGCAAACTGAAAACATTATCCGCAGCAAAACTCCCACAGGACCAGAGCTAGACTCCACCTACAGGGGCTACGTGAGTATCCTGACCCTTGTCATCCCCGCATGTACCTGGGAATCATAGCTGTGTGACAGAGAACAGTCTGTCTGCGGCACATGGCTTTCTGAGCTATCGAAGCACCATGCCGCCCTTGGACTCACGCGATTGGGTGTAGAAAACAAAGCCACGCTAGCAGGTTACCTTTTGAGTAAAACTGGCCCATGCTCAGACGCACTGACCTACTACAGTGACCAGCCTGTTCCTTTACATGGAGAACTGAGTGAGCCCCATTTAATTGAAAGCAACAAAATGCATTGGCTCCCAAAAGTGATTAGACTTTTTTCCAAACTCAGCTAATAATTTTGGGGCCAAGGTTATCCTTGGAACAACAGATTTAGCTAATTGATTACTAACATGAAATATACATACACACACACACACACACACACACACACACACACACATATGTATTTATACACACACATTTTTTTCTGGGGTTTATTGGTTCACTTACTGGATTTAGGAATATTTTTATCCTCTATTGTATGTGCTTATTCTGGAGAAAATAAATCGGACTAACAAGAAGGATTTGGGGGAAAGATGGCAAAAGATTGTACATATTACTAACTTCTGTTTTCGAAGTTCCTACCTAGTAAAGTATATACTAAGTTTATTTGCTCTGCTCAAGTTACTGATCAAATAATTTTTCCTAGAGAACTACCCATTTTCCTACACATGCTTAAGCAAGAGAATGGACATTGGGGAGGGTATGTACTATGGTGAGTGCTGTGAAATGTGTAAGACTGATGATTCACAGACCTGTACCCCTGGGGCAAATAGCACAGTATATGTCAATAAAAATAAATAAATAAATAAATAAATCTCTTCCATGGCTCATACTTTCTTTTCACACCCTAAAGACTGCCTAGTAAAAGTAAAGAAAAATTAATTTCCCTAAATCTAATGATAACTCCTATGTACTGCTTTTTGAAACCAGGGAAGGTTTAATTGTGAGGAATTAATGTTGACATTAATATCCTCACAATTACAGAAGAGTAATCAATGATGAGTTTACTTCCTGTCCAGTTGGGCCAACTTCTATTATAGTGAAACTTCTTTTTTTAAAAATATGATAAGGTTCCCAGCACTGTTTATTGAAGAGACTGCTTTTTTCCACTGGATATTTTTTCCTGCTTTGTTGAAGATTATTTGACCATAGACTTGAGGGTCCGTATCTGGGCTCTCTACTCTGTTCCACTGGTCTGTGTGTCTGTTTTTGTGCCGGTACCGTGCTGTCTTGGTGATCAGAGCTTTGTAGTAAAGCTTGAAATCAGGCAACGTGATGCCTGCCGCCAGCTTTGTTTTTCTTTTTCAACATTTCCTTAGCAATTCAGGGTCTCTTCTGGTTCCATACAAATTTTAGGATTGCTTGTTTCAACACTTTGAAAAATGCCAGTGGAATTTTGATCGGGATGGCATTGAAAGTATAGATGGCTCTAGGCAGTATAGACATTTTAACAATGTTTATTCTTCCCATCCAAGAGCATGGAATGTTTTTCCATCTTTTTGTGTCTTCTTCAATTTCTTTCATGAGTGTTCTGTAGTTCCTCGAGCACAGATCCTTTACCTCTTTGGTTAGGTTTATTCCCAGGTATCTATGGTTCTTGATGCTATAGTAAATGGTATCAATTCTCTAATTTCCCTTTCTATAGTTTTATTGGTAGTGTATAAGGAAGCAACTGATGTCTATGCACTGATTTTGTATTCTGCCACATTACTGAATTGCTGTATGAGTTCTAGTAATTTGGTGGTGCATAAACAATGAATCTTGGAACACTGAAAAATAAAATTAAATTTAAAATAAATAAATAAGTAAATAAATACATACATACATACAAATACTTGAACCTTTGAAAAAATATATGGTAAGGGTTCATGGTGACCATGCTGACATCACTGAGATTGTACTCAGTCTCAGTCAAATACAGTCAAATTTCATAGCAGTGTGATTTGTTAAAGGCTTTGACACAGAACTTTATGGTTAGTAGAGCAGGAGTTCTTTGAATGCTGTACATGATACTAAACTTGGAAAGTTTTCCTTTGATGTTAGAATTTATTCCCTTAACACCTATTAAACTTCTCTTAAATTTTCTTGTGAAATAGTTGGCTTTAATAGTACTTTCTGCTTCTAAGTATTTTAATTATTTAATGCAAAAAAATGTTCCTTTGGGATTTGTGGTGATATTATTGTTCCCACATTTCAACTTAGGAAAGAAGAAGCAACTTGCCAAGAATTATATATTGTATTGCCAGCTGAAGGCTCTGAGTTTTAAATCCCAGATTGCTTTTTAGTCTGTTTTGTCTCAGAGATGTAAAAGAAATTTTGAGGGATTCTCATGCAAAACCTACTATGTGATGTGTATCTTCAAGGCACGGCCCTGCATGTGTATGAATGTAACCTATGTTCCAGAAACATTTTTTTTTAATTAACATGTAATGTATTATTCGCCAGGGGTACAGGTCTGCGAATCATCAGGCTTACACATTACACAGCACTCACCACAGCACATACCCTCCCCAATATCCATAACCCAACCACCCTATCCCCACCCCCCACCCACCCCCCGGCAACCCTCAGTTTGTTTCCTGAGATTGAGTCTCTTACAGTTTGTCTCCCTCCCAATCCCATCTTATTTCATTTTGAACTTGATTTTTTGTTTTGTTTTGTTTTTAGCAGATTTTTTTCCCCACAGAGCCGTAGAACACAGCCACTGTCCTTTTTAAGGAACTAGAAAGATATTTCCCCCCAGAAGCTCTTGCCCTTGTGAAAATCTGAGAATTCTGTGACGGGGGCCCATTTTCTGTGTCTCAACAGATGAAACTGCTGAGTGAATGCAGCGGCAGTATCGACTCCGTGAAGAGACTAGAACACAAACTGAAGGAGGAAGAAGAGAATTTCCCCGGCTTCATTAACCTGAATACTACGGAAACCCAAACGGCTGGTGAGTGAGTGGTGCTCAGTCCAGGAAAGAGGGACATAGACGATCCTGAAATACCTTGCTGCCCCTGTGTGACCCTGTGTGGCTCATCTCGCTTTACACGATTCTCCCCTTAGAGCTTCTCTCCATGTTACAATGATCTCCTGGCAGAAGGGGTGGGGAACAGCACCACCGTGTTCTCTTCCACATCCCATTTTTTTTTAATGCATTCTCTGAAACATCTCTTGTCTGGCATTTTATTTTATTTTATTTTTAAAGCTTTATTTATTTAATTGAGGAAGAAAGAGTGCGCCTGGGGGAAGGGGGAGAGGAAGAGGAAGAGAGAATCCCAAGCAGACTCCACACTGAGCGCAGAGCCCGACACGGGTCTCGATCTCAGAACCCTGAGATCATGACCTGAGCTGAAATCAAGAGTCAGCGTTTAACTGACTGAGCCACCCAGACTCCCCTCGTCTGGCATTTTATTTGTGTGCTTTCTGAGTTCTGTTAACCAACTGAATATTATCTTCAGGCACATAACTGCTTATTACTTCATACAGGTCTTTATGGGATTAAATCCTATATAGTTGTTTTTTTACCCCATTATCATTAAAAATGCAGGTAGGATAAACACAGCCATTATGCTGTTTTGTCTTGTTTTGTTCTTACAGCTGACAACAACAGACGTGCCTGTTAGAATTATGTTTCCTCACATCTTCTCCAACATTTGTTATTTCTTGCCTTGTCACTTTTTGCCATCCTAACCAGGGTAAGGTGTCGGTGGGAAGGCAAGCGGAGGCAGCCACTTTGGGAAACCGTGTGGAGGTTCCTCAAAAAGTTAAAAATAGAGATACTCTGTGACCCAGCAATTGCACTACTGGGTGTTTACCCCAAAGATACAGATGCCGGGAAAAGAAGGGCCATCTGTACCCCAGTGTTCATAGCAGCAATGGCTGCAGTCGCCAAACTGTGGAAGAGCTGAGGTGCCCTTCAACAGATGAATGGATGAAGAAGATGTGGTCCATATGCACAATGGAATATTACTCAGCCATCAGAAAGGATGAATGTCCACCATTTGGATGGACATAGGTGGAACTGGAGGGGCTTATGCTAGATGAAATAAGTCAAGCAGAGGGGCGCCTGGGTGGCTCAGTGGGTTATGCCTCTGCCTTCGGGTCAGGTCATGATCTCAGGGTCGTGGGATCGAGCCCTGCATCGGGCTCTCTGCTCAGCAGGGAACCTGCTTCCTCCCCCTCTCTCTGCCTGCCTCTCTGCCTACTTGTGATCTCTGTCTGTCAAATAAATAAATAAAATCTTAAAAAAAAAAAAGTCAAACAGAAAGACAGTTATCATATGGTTTCACTTACATGTGGAACGTAAGGAATGGCATGGAGGACATTAGGAGAAGGAAGGGAAAAATGAAGGGGGGATATCAGAGGGGGAGATGAGCCATGAGAGACTATGGGCTCCAGGAAACAAACTGAGGGTTTCAGAGGGGAGGGGAGTCCGTGGATGGGTTGGCTCAGTGATGGGTATTAACGAGGTGCGTATTGCATGGAGAACTGGGTGTTATACACAATGAATCATGGAACACTATAAAAAAAGAAAAAGAATTAGCTTTTTTTAAGATTTTTTTTTTATTTATTTGACAGAGACACAGCAAGAGAGGGAACACGAGCTAAGTGAGTGGGAGCAAGAGAAGCAGGCTCCCTGCTGAACAGAGAGCCCGACGCAGGGCTGGGTCCCAGGACCCTTGGATCATGAGCTGAGCAGAACACAGACGCTTAACAACTGAGCCTCCCAGGCGCTCAGATTACTTTTCTTTTTGTTGTTACTTATCAGTAGCTACCAATGTGTGTTTAAGGCATTTCCCAGACATCCTGTGCAGAGAAATGCAGCTTACTAACCTGTGTGTGTCGGGTCCCGCCAGGTGTGATCGACCGGTGGGAACTCATCCAGGCGCAGGCCCTGAGCAAGGAGCTGAGAATGAAACAGAGCCTCCAGAAGTGGCAGCAGTTCCAGGCAGACCTGCACAGCATCTGGACGTGGCTGGGGGAGGCGGAGCAGGAGCTGGAGCAGCTGCGGCGCCTGGAGCTCAGCACCGACATCCAGGCTATCGAGCTCCAAATCAAAAAGCTCAAGGTAGCTGCCCTCACTGCCACGTGCACTGCCTGCCCCCACGAAACCACTAGCTCTAGCTGATCTGTTGTCACCCAGCCACAGGGAAGCTGTGGACAGAGACAGACACGAATGCCCTCCTCTCTGGCAACCGTCGCAAACCAGTACTTACAGAGCAGGCTGGGAAGGGCGAAAGATGGACCATGTCGTAGAACCAGCCCCCACGTAAATAAACAATCACGTATGATTTCATGACTTGGTTCTTTAGGAATGACTAATCGTAAAAGTTCATGAAACACCCAGGAACTTCTGGGACCTGATTAGCCTCTTTTAAAGGAAATGCAGAAACGACCTGGTTCCTGCAAGTCTGTATCTAGAACTAGAGAGGTTTCCTCTCCAAGACAGCATCTCTGACTTTGTGGAGACGTAGTAAAATTGTGGGACACTCTGGAGGCAGCAGAACATCCAAAGTTGATTATAATAGTCACAGAAGCAATGTGCGGTGTAATGAATACAGCAAAACAAAACTGTGGAGTAATTAGGGCTAGAGCACCTGGCATGTGCACTTGAGTTTGACCTAGATGGCTGTCTGTCCACACAGGATCATGTCCTTTAGCTCCATCTCCGGGTCTTAACTCTCCTCCTTAGCACAGTTCTTGAAGTGCATTACTATGCAGAGACTTTTAGAAGCATACTCTGGACTGAGAGCCCAGTTTGTTTTTAGTAGCTCCTTCAGTCTTGTCTTTTCGTTTAGAGAACATCGAGATACACTCTTCCTCAGAATGGAACTACCTAGGCTCTCCAGGCTCAAGGGTCAAGTGTGCTGCTTTTGAGTCTCTTGGGTTTCATGTGTGTCATCTATTTTGGAGTGATGTTTTGGTGGCTTGTTTTGGTTGTTGTTTGTTTTAAATTTCCAGAGAAATGAGTCTTCCCCACTGTGGCTCTGATTTCTTCTTATAGAACTAGCCTCTGCACCAGCCCCATCGATTTCTGGATGAAGCATCAGATGGGAGATGTGACTTATATTCTCCGGATTATAAAATACGGTTTTCTCTAGAATACTTAAGTTATTTTAGTTCCTCTCTGGGAAAATGTAAGGCAGTGTGTATGATGACAGACTCCTTAAAAAGCTGATAAAATGAATGTTGGCCAGAGTCTGAGACCTAAGTGAAATTAGGGTGGGAAAATGAGACCTTGAACGTCAGCCTGTGTGATAAGAAGCAGCCACCCTCCACGTGCCCTCCCAGTCCTTCCTGTCTGTTTCCTGAGGATAAGTCTGTGGAATAACCAAGTGTCTTTCCACAGTATACCTTGATCTTACAATATCTCTGTGGTCAAATCTATATTACAGCATTTTAAGAATCTTTTGGAAAGTGAAAAATTAAGACAAGCTGGCAACATAACAGAAACGTTGAGAACTTAGAAGAAAATGTAACATGGGCAGATGTGGTTTGCAGGATCACTGACCTGAAACTAATCTAGGGATGTTTCAACAATACCCAGATACTGAATCATTAATGTGTAATCATGTGCTACACAAGTTCTTGAGATAGTTCTAGATTTCTGGGAAAGGCATTGAGCAAAAACCAGTTGCCTAGTTTCTTGTGAAACCAAACTGAATTGGTGAGCTGTTGACATACCCATCCATTCTCTCAGCCATCACAGGAATGTGGCCTGTGACACCAGCAGGGCTCTCCCCTTCTGGGCCACTAACTCTCTGTGCCTGTCAAGTCCAAACAGCTGGAGGCTGAGGCCTGGGAACCTGCCTACTTTCAAGTTTCCCATTTCATTTTTCTGCACACAACTTGGAGTCCCACTGGTCTAGTGATGAGATTCTTAGGCTAGAACATTTCCTCTTGCCCAGAACTCTTCGAGCCAGGTCTGGGTGTGTGTGGTTTTATCCCTGTTGGACTCCCACGCTGTGAGCTGAGTTCATCAACTCCTTAGTTCATTGCACAGGGTCATCAGCGTTTCCTGCAAAGTTCCTCTTAATTTATTTATCCTTTTCCCCCACTTTTTAAATTTCCATTCCTGAAGCCCATGGCAAGCCTTCTTAAATACTGAATGAGTATTCATTCATATATGCATGAAAAATGTGGATTTGTGTGTGTGCGTGTGCCTTTTAAATCACATAAATACTGTTATATTGCATATACTGTTCTGTTTCTGACTCTCACTCTACACCATATTTTAAAACCCACTCAAGTTGTCCAGTGTACGTCTAATCCATTTCCTTTACCTATAGTGTGGCCCTCGGTGGTGTGCACCACTGTCTCTTAACTAGCCGTTCAGTTAAGGCCCGTTTTAATGAATGGATCTTTTAATTTGGGTGAAGCATTCCCTAAGGTCTTAAACCGTGCTCTAAATGTTTTTATTGTTATTTTCTTTCTTTCGTGGTTCTCCTTTCTCTTTGTAGGAGCTCCAGAAAGCCGTGGACCACCGCAAAGCCATCATCCTCTCCATCAACCTGTGCAGCTCCGAGTTCACCCAGACCGGCAGTGAGAAGAGCCAGGATCTGCAAGACCGCTTGTGCCAGATGAACGGGCGCTGGGACCGGGTGTGCTCGCTGCTGGAAGAGTGGCGGGGCCTGCTCCAGGACGCGCTGATGCAGTGTCAGGTTCGTGGGAGTCACACATTTCCAGGGTAGCTGAGTCTGGGACTTGACTTATCAAGGTCACTTCAAGAGATGCCATCATTCCCCAGTGCCAGGATTTGAACGAGATAACTTCGTGCCCAAACTACTCATTATACTGGAGAATCTGTACATCTGAACAGGAGTTCAGGCAGCTGGACCCTGTCTTGTATCCAGCTATCTGAACTAGTCCCACAAGTTTATCTCAGCCCCGACTCATTCATTCATTCATTCATTCATTCATTCATTTATTCAACTGATACTTACTGAGCATGTTGGCAGACATCTCCTGAACACGAAAGTGAGCATTACAAATATTGGCTCATCCATTTTACCATAGTTATTTGATGAGTGCCTACTCCCTGGCGGAGCAGTCAGGATACAACAGCCTCTACTTCTGTTTGGGAAGACAAACAGTACAATGCAAGTATTGCTGGGACGCCTGGGTGGCTCAGTTGGTTGGGTGTCTGTCTTCAGCTCGGGCTATGATCCCAGGGTTCTGGGATCAAGTCAGGCTCCTTCCTCAGGGGGGAGCCTGCTTCTCCCTCTTCCTGCTGCTCCCCCTGCTTATGCTCTCTCTCTCTCTCTCTCTCTCTCGCTCTCACACACACACACACACACAAATAAATACATTTTTTAAAAATACAAGTAATTGCTTAACCAAAATGCTTACAAGTGTCGATGATAAGATGAGAAAAGCCACTTTGGGATAGAGGTGAGGGAACTTCTAGGAATCTTGGAGCCGACACTGGAGGGATTTTGCCAGACAGAGCCAATGGGATGTCCCATAAACAGGAAAGAGCTTACTGTCTTTAAGGTCAGAAAAGAGGCCCGTGGGATCAGAATGTCGTCAGAGAGGCAGGGAGTGATCAGGAAGACCAGGGAGATGCTTCGCGACCGGATCACGCAGGGCCCTGTAGGTCCGAAGCAGGAGCGGAGGGCATCTGAGCACAGTGCAGACCTGCTTCCCAGGTCCGCATGTGCCCCAGGAATACCCTGAAAGCAGGCACTCAGGCTGTTGTTTCACCCGTGGGCCCCCTCCCTGTCCTGTGCTTAAGAGATTTTCAGTGACTACGTGTTGAATAAATGAATGAACAAATGGATGAATGAAGGACATGGGGACCAGATTAAGGCCTTACAACATGGGAAGGTTTGAATAGAAGGGAAGAGCCGGGAGCAGAGTTGTTTCCTTCCACACTGTATAGTAACCCTAGAAATTAAGTACCCGAGGCCAGTATTTCCTTTTGTCCAAATTCCCCCCTCAAATAGCGAACTACATGCTCTTGGTGAGAATGTGAACTCAGATCATTGCCACAGCACTGGTGCCTTTCTCAGAAAGGAATTGTGCCTCAGACCTTAAATGCAACGTATCTTTGCTAGGGGTACCAACTGTAAAGACTGGAAATTGAAGCTGTGAGGGAAAGAAAAATACATTATTCAAGATGATTTTATACTCCATTTTTTTTTTCTCCATAGGATTTCCATGAAATGAGTCATGGTTTGCTGCTTATGCTGGAAAACATCGACAGAAGGAAAAATGAAATTGTGCCTATTGATTCTAACCTGGATGCAGAGACACTTCAAGACCATCACAGGCAGCTCATGGTAAGACGTGTGAGCTCTGGCAGCCTGGCTCGTCACCGCAGTCATCCATTTCATGTACAGAAAAAGAATGTGGGTGATAATATATATATATATATATATATATATATATATATATATATATATATATTTTACATTTTGCATACTGGTCTCTAACTTTCTCTTTTTTATTTGTTATGGTTTCTGATCTGGGGGAGGCAAACATGCTTATAGGAGACAATGTCTACCAGCTTTAGAATCTGGTTCTTTAGTCATTGCTCAGTTGTAGAAATCTTAGATGTTCTTCTTCTTAATGAGGTTGTTTTTACTAAAGCAGATCTTTGGCAATTATACTTATTTTTAATTTAAACTGTATTTGTTACATCTATGCATAAAATAAGAGTATATTGGGTGGCTTAAATTTTATTTTTATGGACATTGAAACTATTATTTAGAAAGAGACCATTAAGACTTCTAAGAAGAAATTAAGTGTGGTTACCTGGGTGGCTCAGTCAGTTAAGTGTCTGCCTTCGGCTCAGGTCATGATCCCAGGGTCCTTGGATCGATTCCCGCTTTGGGCTCCTTCTCAGTGGGGAGTCTGCGTCTCCCTCTACCCCTGCTCATGCTCCTTCTCTCACTCACTCTCCCTCTTTTAAATAAATAAATAGAATCTTAAAAAAAGAAAAAGAAGATGAAGAAATTTAGATTTAACAGTAACCTTGTCACCATGTTTTGTGAAAATGAAGACAAAAAGGAAAATGTGAAAAGTTATTTTCATTATCTGAGATGAAGAAAACATGCCAGTTCTCAAGGAGAAAGAAACTTTTTCTAGCACTGAATTCAAAAGGAAATTTGCAGAATCTTGGCGTAGATTCTTATACAAAGAACTTTAGACAATATAATGTACAGTGTAGTTAGGAGATTTTATAGAAGATAAAGCAGTATATTTGAGTTCCATTAGGAGAAAATGATTTGCATTTTGTAGCTTCTGTGTTTTTAAAATGTCATTTCTCAACATTTAATGCTTATTAACCTAACCAACAGAATTGATAGCTTTTGATTCAGTACCATAAAGGTCTTAGAAACCATGAGGGAATAGTTATGCAATGGCATTTTTACTGACTTTTGACCTCAGATATTAGTTGTAAATAATGAATCACTACCATAGCCTTCAAAAAATGTTGAACAAAGATCAGCGTATACTTAGACATACCTGAGTTTTGCTATATTTATATGTTAATGTTTCTCTTTCTGTATAAAAGAATATCTTATGTCTCTTTTGCTAAGTACTTGATATTTTAAGCACTTTCATGTATAATCACCAATTTGAACCTTTTAATATACTTACTGTGAACCAGGCAGGAAAGAGTATTATCATTTTCCGAAATGAGAAAACTTGAGATCAGGAAGGTTCAGGGGACTTACAGACTATTTTTGGCAGAGGCAGGGTTAGAACCCAGACCCCGATTCCCAACTGCCACAGGCTGCCTCATTCTTCCCTATGTGAGCACAGCATTCGGATATTTGGGTTTAATTGCCCGCTAAGTTAAACTGATGTCATTCTGCCTTTTTGGAATTTTCCCCAAATATCAAAAGTTGTTAGTAAAGCATTTCTTATCATGCACGTAGCAAATAAGGCATGAGCTCTTGGAATCCCAGCTCAGAGTGGCCTCACTGCAAGACATGTCTTGCCAACTCCTGGTGAACGCTGAAGGCACAGACTGTTTGGAAGCCAAAGAAAAAGTCCATGTAATTGGAAATCGGCTCAAACTTCTCTTGAAGGAGGTCAGTCGTCACATCAAGGAGCTGGAGAAGCTATTAGACATGTCAAGCAGTCAGCAGGTAAGCTCTAAGCAGACATCATTGTGTGGCATCTCTTAGAGGAAACCAAAGAAGCATCATCTTTATCCATTTTTAGAAGGACTTTGAAAATAGTACTTGTCAGAATAAAGCGCCCGCTCTCAATCACTGCTCTCACAAGCCCTGTCTGAAAATTCAAAAAAGGGACTTATAAACTTTTATACTAGGACACTGCTTTTGATTCTATTACATCAAAAAAAAAACCTCTTGCAATCGTTACCGCTAACCCTTTACCGTCTCTACTGTGGTATTGTATTTTACCCTGTTTATTTACAAATTCACACGTTTTCACATTTTCATTCACATGGCTGTGGTAGATCATAACCAGTCGTGGCGTCTGAGTTTTGTATTCAAACACCGGGAGGCATGAGATCTCCTGACACAGACGGCAATTCATTCATAGAGAATGTCTTCTGCTCATTTACTTTTTAGATTTTTTTTTTTTAAATCTAGATTTTTAAATCTAATTTTTAGATTTTTTTCTTAAATCTACTGCATCGTGGCCGTATTATTGGTTTTGAGAAATGCATCTGTAGAGACAGAGGGGCTTGGTAAGACTTCAAACAATCAGTTGCGAAATCTTGTTTTGAGCACACAAACACCCGCCCCATCGTAAGCCTGCAAAGGACCAGTCTCCTCTGAAAATCAGTAGTGCCAGACATACTACAAAAGCAGGCTCCTGGATGACTAAATTTTGTTTCTAACTCAAATGAATTGGTCTCTCCCTGGCCCGAGAGACCTGGAGTGTAAGATGAGTTCCTTCCCCTCCTCCTCTTCCACTCATCCCCATCTGTGTCATCAAGAAATGAGAGAGCTGTAAGTGACATAGGAGCAGCAAAAATGTGCCTGTATTTTCTAGCAGGACCAAATTTACAACCAGAAAAGTCCTGATACATTAGAAGAATTAGGTTCTGTTCTTACAGTTGTCTGATTCTATTTTGCCCAAAGAATGGTTTGATTTTACAGAGGATGGGTGGGGATGGGCTGGTAAATGCATTGGGGATAACCAAGCCATCATGGCCTTGGGACACGGAGTCATTGAAGGAATCTGTTTCCTACATAGGATTTGTCTTCCTGGTCTTCGGCTGATGAACTGGACACTTCGGGATCTGTGAGTCCTACTTCTGGAAGAAGCACCCCAAACAGACAAAGAACGGTAACTTTCCACTGGTCCTTCACAGTTGGCCCATGGGAGGGAACACAGGGACGTGACACAATCTATACCTACCTCAGGGTCCATAGGCTCCCCCTGGGGAGTGCAGGAGTCCCCCTACTGAAGAGGGTTGTCACACAGTAACCCAGCCAAGTGGTGTTTCCTCAGCCCTGCGGCATGGTCTCCCCACGTGCACTCAGGAATGGAAAAGAACATTCTGTTTTTCCAAAGAAGGAGGGCTCAAGGTGTGGTTGGTACAGGGAGACAAATTATTTCTCTTGCTCCAAGGGCCATCGATAGCATGGTGTTTCCTTATTTCTTTGGTGGCTCCTCCCTTCAAACCACTACCACCAGAGTCTACCTAAAAACGTAGGTTCCAGGTAAAGGGGCGTCTCAGCCAGAAGCAGACAAAACTGAGAGCGTCTCATGAGATCCGTGTATGTATGAGACAAGTGGAGGTTCTTTTGAACTCTCAAGCGAAGAAGCTCCTGAAGGTGGTTCTGACGGTTTGGGGCGACTGTGCTGCCCACACAGAGGCAACAGCTCAAGAGGCCTCAGCCACAGAGCCTTCGGGAGGCTGCTTCACTGGCATTCTGTGAGGACAGAAAGACGAATCTGGCCCCTGCTACCCTCTATACTTTGATTTCTCTGTGTAATTAGAAGCTTGTTTTTGTTTTGTTATTTTTTTGTCCGGCTTTATGATTATATTCATTTTTATTACATCCCATTTTCCTTAGTTTTTAGAAGTATTGATTTTGTTTGTACTATTTTTGTTATAAACACTCAAGTTCTATGCTGATAAATGTTATTATCTTATTTAGGATTGTTTTTTACTACATTCACTAGTTTCCTGTAGATCCTAGTTTAAGAATGTGAAGGAATACTGGCTTTTCGAGTCAAATTCTAGCCCTGATTTAACTTGTCGGGTCCTCAGCATTCTACAAAGAAAAATCTCATATTGCCGTTGTTATTTTTTATCTGCCGAGAATTTCAATACTGTTTCAGTGTTCTAGAAGACTAAGAAATAATGGTGTGCCAAGCCATATTGACCTTCATAGTTATTTTAAGTGAATCCTTGGCTGGTATAGTCACCTGTGTTTAGACCATGAAAAATGGGGGAAAATATACCCACTATAGTGGGGTCTCCAAACCCCGACTGTTTGTTTCCTCAGTGACGAATGCTAGAGATATGAATTTGTTTTGTTTCTTCCACAAAAGAAAAGCCAGTTTCCTGAATTCATGGTTACTGATCATTTCATTTGATTTATTTTTCCTTTGCCGCACTTTTAGTTTATTTTTTTTCAGTAGCTTGTCTTTATTTGCCTGGACTGAACATTCTTCTTTCTTTACCCCTGTTCATTGCAAACAGCCACGAGGCAAATGTAGTCTCTCACAGCCTGGACCCTCTGTCAGCAGTCCACATAGCAGGTACCTTATTCTCCTGGTTTCCACACTGTTCTAGAACTCCAAGAGGATGATGAAAATGGTCCATGATTTAGGTAGGCCTCTATCTGGTCTGCCTCAGGGTAGTTGAGAAATTTCTTGTTTCATCCGTACACCCTTTTTCTAGTAAATTGGAAGAGACTTTTCTAAGTGCAAAGTGTAAGTAAAGCCTGGAGCACAAAATATTTGGATCCCACCAGAATTTCATCTAACTATACATAGGCCATCTGGTACTTTTTGTCCCATTGTATTCTGTGTGTGTGGAAGGATTCGGTGCAGTGGATGGCACATTTGATTCATGGCAGACTTTCATCATCCTCTTTATTTCTAGATTTTACAATAAGACAGGTCATAGATCAATGAATTATTTTACCACTCACAGAACCCACAAATCTGAATAAAATATACTAACATCCCCAGCTTTTTATTTTATTTTCATGTTTTATCCAGATTGTGGGTTTTGAATTCTCAAAATGGCAAGTCCTAATTTGGTATTATTTAAAATTTATAAGCACCTTCTCTCTTTTGCTTATCCCAAAACTTCTCTTCTGCCAGCACACTCAGTCACTCACCTTCCTGACACTTGGCAAGCTCTTTCACGCTAGAGTCGAGAGAAGTCCGTGCCCCTGCCAGGGGGCGCCCAGAGAGCCCACGCACAGCTGCCACTCCGTGCTTCACGCCTGGCTTCCAACAGCCCCTTGTTCCTGCCCTTACTGGTGCTTTGCCTTCTTCGTTGTTGGTGTGATGTCTGTGCTGCTCTGCCCTTTCACTAATCAGTTCGTGTTCCCCTGGTTGACTTTTTAGACATGAAAATACTGTCCCTGGAGCTAATTTTTCGTTCCAAGCCCAAGCAGACTGTTCAAGTAGTTTGCCCCTCTGGAGACTTACCATTCCTGAGCTGGAATCTCAAGAGAGGCCAGCAAGTGTAGAGCTGAAAGCGATCCCTGAGTAATAGTTTTCGTTTTCCAGCTGCGTGCTGAAGGGTCTGGATGTTTGATTTGGTGATTCCTACTCAGCTGAAGCAATACAGAACATACTTTGATGTGCTTTTTGGTTTTAAGCCTTTACTTGCACCTTTTTTTTTCTTTCCCTTTGGTTTGGTTTGATGACAATTTTGTGGGGTTGTTTTTTTTTTTTTTTTTTTTTTTTTGGTCTATAATAAATCAATAATGAAATATGAATGGAGAAAAACTCACAAGGATTTTTAAAGATAATGGTGGAGATCTACAGCTGCTCTGATGTTCTCTTAGTCCCCTATAAGAAAAGCCAATCACGTACTAAAGACAGATTATTGTTTTGTCCATCTTGTCCACTACAAATTACTGATGGGCCATGAACAGAGATGGGCAATGTCCCCATAGCAGTCCTTTTAGGATACCAGAGATCAGTTCTTTGGTTGACATCAATGATGGTCTTTTACGTTACCATGCAACACCAAGAGCAACCACCTTTTGGTTCCTAAATATCACATCAGTCTGTAGCCCCAATTCTTTCAGTCGCATGGGTCTTCTGCAAATGTCCAAGGCATCATCTTCTAGGGCAGCAAGTGCTTCAGTGTGTCTCCTAATGGGGCTTTGCGGCTGGGACAGCCACCCTCTTACTGTGACATCCACAGGTGCCTTTCAGCTCTGCTCTGCCCAGCGCTATTTATTAACATCTTTCTGAGCACACAGCACAGTGTTTACTTCGCTCCATAGAGGGTCTGGAATACAAATGATCTACACCTGAAGGGCAGATGTCATCAAACACCTTGGCAGCCAGGTTGTGGTCAAACATTCTTGGACTTCTTAATTTCTTGGCACCTCTGTTTGGGGTGCACCCAACCCCGACAATGGAATGCGGAGTCCGCTGGGAAAGAATTAACTTCACTCATTATCCAAGCTGTCATGGTGTTCCTTTACGTTGAGACTTGAGAGTACCTTGTGTTTGATCTTGCACTGGTCCAGCAAATTTGAAAGCACAAACAGTTTAGAATGTTGACCCCAGCGATCTGCAATGGAAAATGATAGACACATATTCTTTCTAAGAGAGGAATGAGACTGAGCTGGAAGAAACCGTTTGAAGGAAGGGGGTTCTTACATTGTTTTTGTTGTTTAAGGTCTGGTATTCATAATACAGTTGCTTACCTGCTGTATATGATTTCAGGTTGATCTTATAGCCACAGTTCTATGTCCTCGTATCTAATATTCTAAGCCTACATATAACTTGATACCAGTATTTACTGTATTCCTCCTACGTTTACGTCCTGGGCTTACAAAATTACTACCACATGGTCCTTGCCATGTGTCAGAATCTGCAGATTCCCAAATCCATTACAAGGAGCTCCTCAAGACTCCCTGAAAATTATGAACATTTGAAAGACATTCATAGTAATCATTCGTCATTTTTAGATTAAATAGATTTAAGAAGGAATGTTTATGGTGGTCCAGCTGCATTTTATTTTTCTGCTTTTGACTTAAAATCATCTAACTCAATCACCAGTAAGTCTTCCCAACTCTACTGTCAATTATTTAAAGATGGCACACGGGAAGATTTTACTCCAGCTTCCAGCAAGGCAAAGGAGAAATTGCTCTATAGTGTGGATACAGTGATGTGATGACTTCATTCCAAAAGTTAACCACAAATTCTAAAACATATTCTAAATATTCAAACATGCAAAATTTCCTCAGACACCTTTGGTCTCTGGCACCTTCTACCCAGAGAACTAAGGTGGAAAGAGAAGCAGCAAATGAAAGGAAGGGGGAAAAAAAACTGTGAGCACTTTACTGTAAACACTGTCCAGTTTCTTTTTTTTAAATAAGCATTTTTTAAAGATTTTATTTATTTATTTGACAGAGATTATAAGTAGGCAGAGAGGCAGGCAGAGAGAAGAGGAAGCAGGCTTCTTACGGAGCAGAGAGCCCAATGTGGGGCTCAATCCCAGGACTCTGGGATCATGACCTGAGCTGAAGGCAGAGGCTTTAACCCACTGAGCCACCCAGGTGCCCCCACTGTCCAGTTTCTTATGGAATTTTTTTTTCAAGTCTTTTGTCAGGCTCTGATGGGATCTACTTATCCGTAGGCATTCAGAGAGCCTCAGTCTATACAGGTGTACTACTAGGACAGGCTGGCCACCAAGGCTGAGAACAGTAATAGGGTAAAGCGCCAATGTTTCTTTTCTGATATTTTGAGGTATGCATTCCCAGTGTTTCCCAGGAAAAGGTCAACCACTTTGGCAAATGTATCACGTCTTTGAAAGAACTACTAAGAAATCAGGACCATTCTCCTGGGAGACAAAGCTATATACAACCAGTCTCTCATGGTATGAGTTAGCACACCTTTGCTTTAACAATGATGATAAGATAATGATCAATTGTGACATTTATTTAGTGCTTAATGTATCCTAAGCACTATGCTAAGCATTGTATATCTGTCATCTTATTTAACTCTTACCACATCCCCGTGGCATCTCTGTATTTCCAAATTCACAGACAGGGACGCCGAGGATTAGAGGCACGAAGATTATAGATTTGAATCAGGCCAACCTGACTCTGGATCCTAGCTGGTAAATCACTTCCCTCTGCCAGAGAAGGGGAGGGCTCCTTTACAGAACAGTTCTAGACCTTGGGCTGCCCCAGGCTGCCTGATACTGCTTAGGACCAGCCAGGTCATTTTTTTAAAAAAAGAAGACTGAAATCCTAAATTGATTCTGGAAATTTGTCTTCTGAACCACAATCCAAGGAACAAAGGCCATCCGCACTAGAGCAGACAGCAAGATCATATACAACCTAGCTACTTTCTCACGATAAATTCCTGTTAGGACACTGCCACTGGTAGCAAACAAGGAACAAAATGCATTGAAAGTTTCTCTTCACTTGCCTTTAAATAACTGATGCCCAGAAGTAATTCATTTTATTCTCCTTGATTATATAAAATTTTTGAGATGAGTCATACTTTGTGCAAAGTCTTCAGGCTTTTGACATCCCTGGATCATCCTTTCTTGTGTGTGGTGTGTTATTTTGTCCTGGTTCTTCCCCTACCATCTTCCTTCTCCCACAACTGTATGTATTTAGGGAAAGAGATGAAACAACTCCTGGGCAGCTACTTACCCAGAAGTTTGAGTGAGGGGAGAGAGAAAAACGATAAACTAAATATTTACTTGGAGAGAATAAGCACATTTTTGCTGGGCAGAATTGTCTGGAATAGCTCCATGGACTGAGTTTCTTGGATAAGTTCACACATTTCATTTTTCCTCTATAAACACAATCTCAACTCGCATCTATTTATGTAATAAGGCCATCGGAGAGTGATGAGTGACTAGTTAATGAGTAGTCTTTGTTCTTTCCCTTGTCAGATTTCCCAAGACTCTTGAAACAGGTGCCCTTAGGTCAACAGATAAATATTAAAAGTACCCTTTTCCCTGGACACCATTATCCTGCTGGTACTAAGAGCTCTAGTATAGGTTCGTCCTAGGAGAGGCAATTTTGGGCATGTTGAAACCCTGATAATTGTCCCCAAGGGGGTGGCATTTATCTCAGTAGATAGACATTTCCAAGAGCAGTCAACTGCACGGAAGCCCGCTCAGCACTGCGTGTTCCCTCTGTCCCTATCTCAGCCCATTACTTCTCCCTAGGTTAGCATTCTTCAACGTTAGAAGGCACATGGTAATTAAATTTTAATAAGAAATGCTCTGATGCTGTTAAATGTGCCATGTCCTTCAACAGACTCCGTAACACATGAGCCCATATTCCAAAGATGGTGACCTTTCTAGTGTTTCTCAGGAGCGGACTTGTCAAAGTGCAGCCCCTGTTTTCATCTTTATCTCTGGCTTCCTTGCTCAGAGAAGGTAATAATTGACAAATGGGCTATTCACCTCTGTCAGTCAAATTGTACTGTTAAGTATATGCACAGACTTGCCCGTAGCTAACGTCCTTAAATGTCTGTCTTTGAAAGAAAGAGACTGTTAGAAATCAACTTCATTTTATTTAAATATTGAATAAGGAGGAAATGTAGAGTTGGCTTTGGTGCTCCTATTACAACTCACCCAGGGACAGGTGATGAGTGGTGTTTGCCAGGGCACGTTTTCAGCTCAAAGGAAAAATACAGTGAAGGAAAATTCAATCCAGATTTCATGGGCGACTGTCCCATTCTTCTCGACACACTTTAAGGCAAACCATTGAATTCATACTCCGTCAGACCCAAAATGATTTGAGAAAATTAATGCACCCCTTGTCTTTGCAAATGAGAAAACTGAAGACAAGACAGACTAAGTTACTTGCCCAAGATTGTACGATAGCCTCAAAGCAAAATGCTCTTATGTCCATAATACTGAGTTGATCTGTGTGATACTCTGAGGCTTTACAATTAGAAGCATTTATTTCAGACCCAAGGAAACCACTCACCTCCAAATATTTTAGGATATAAGCGTTTGTCTTCTTTGCTTCTACATGTAAGATACATAAGTATGGCCTGGATGACCTTCATTCGTGTCATCAAACAACAAAATGTTGCAGAGAGGGTGGTAGGGCGTGACTTGGGAACCCTGCTTCCTGCTAGAGCTTTTCATTTCACTGTGTGATTTGGGGCAAGTGATTGGCCCTATCCAGAGAGTCCAAGTTCTGGGACTTAAAGATCTCAGGGTTGAAATCTTAATTCCGCCACTTGCTAACTGTATAACCTTGAGCCGGCTACTCTGAGTCTCCTTTTCGTCATCTATAAGGTGAAGGTAATGATAATGAGCACATGGGGACTATCAAAGGGATTAAGTGAGAGAATAAGATAAATGCTTAGTGTGTTGCCCAGTGATTAGAAGAGTAAATGTTGGATTCAGAGTCCAGAGTGCTTAACCCTCCTTAGCCACTTACGTATGGAGTTAGAAGATGGACTAGATATTCCCTAAGGTTTTATTTCAACATGAATGTTTTATAATCTGGAAGCTTGAGAAGTTTGTTTTCTCCTTCCACTGATAGATATGTGACATACTTCGTGTATGCTCTACTATATTTTCACAAAAATATACAACCTTTCCTACTCAGTTTATGAGGAGTAGCTCAGTGGCCTGAGCATAAGGGCAGTTAATCAGTTTGACCACTAGATGGTGATTAAACTCTTATGGCCTCCCAGTTGGTAGCCTATATTGACCAACTTGTAGAAGACATAAAATGTATAAAATATGGAACTTTCAAGTTGGAAGACCATCTAATCTAATTTGGAAGGTTTGAAGCTGTTGACACTCAGAAGTGAAGTGAGTTGTTCAAGGTTACACAGATGTTAGTCGTAGACCTCGGACAAGAATACGACAATTTGGGCCAACAATTTGTTTTTGGGTTGTTTGGGTTTTTTGTTTGTTTGTTTGTTTGTTTGTTTCATGAAACTGCAAGAACCATTCTAGAAACACAGTGTGGTACGTGGCTGTTTGGAGCTCCTGCCGGAGTAGTCTGCTTGTCTTATGACAGTGTGATAAGAAAGCTTTGTGTACTCCCTCTGTTCTCTTTTAAGGGATTTGTGTCTGTTTTTTTGTCTTAACATTTATTTTCTTTGGTGCCACCCCTTATCCCTCACTGATATGAATGTAATCTGTTTTCAGAAATTAATGGCTTATAGGATACCTGGAAATATAATGTTTTCTTATGAGAAAAATGTAGAGTAACCAATATAGTTTTTAAACCTTCTTATTTCCCCAGTGGCCTCATATTCAGTGTCTTTACCCTAAGTGATATTATAACACTTAGTGATATTATCCCCATTAGGAAATTCGTAGTAGGTATGGGGGAATGTGTCTCATTGGTACATACATTCTTTTTGTTCGTGGAGTGTTTTGTGTGCATGTGTATGTGTGTACAAAATGCCTCTTGTAAGTACCATTTCCTTCTACAGCTTTTCTACTCGTAACCAAATAAGACATTAGTGGATACTCACAAAGAGAAAATAGTGTACCTCACCCAGGACTTCACTTCCATATTCAGAATTTTGCAGTCTTTCTTAGGAATGCTGAAATTCATACTTAATCTCTAATGTACTATTTAAAATTAGAAGGGAAAATGGAAGTAGATAGGAAAACTTGGAACTGTGAGTCTAGAAGGAGCCTTCAAGAAGATCATCTATTCTCAGAAAATGGTGTCTGTTTCCCAAAGTCACAGAGCTAGCAATAGATAGGATTGGCCTAGAATCTACGCCATCCCACACAAGTATTCTGTAGGCTAACTCTGCTGCCACCCTTTCACATACAGCTTTGAGACCCACGTGGCTCAGGGTTAGATGCTGATTCAGTGCAAGATGAAACCAGGGTCTACTCTAAGACTCTTTGAACTTTGACTTTCTTCAAGATGGCTGCCACTGTTCTTAACCTTGCTGCATAGGTTTCAGCCCATCCAAGATGGCACGATGGGATACTTTGCATAATTCTGACAGCAACTAATTTTACCTAATGGTGCTACTGATACCCTTAAACCAAAATGTCCTGCATCAAACATCCACATTTTAATTATCCTGGATCTGCTTGATCTATGCTGGTCGGATGTGTGTAGAGCAGTTATCTTTGTGGATGGAAAGTGTTTTACCACATTAAGGGATGGGATTTGAAACCAATTAGTTGCCTTTCATTGACTGACTAAATGTTTATTTTTTTCATCAGTGATGTGTCCAAAAAAAAACTCTTCATGTGGTGGTGGGGAGATCACCTGGGCATACTGCAGAAGGCTGCCCACTCATTGCTAGGACGGGTTGGGTTTGGCATGGTCCTTTAGCTTTCAGGAAGGTGAGGAAGCAAAAAGCAGCATCCATCCAACACTGGAGATATTTGAGTTATTTATGTTGATTCTCCTCTCAGGTCCATAAAAGGTGGCTCCGATTCCTCCCTTTCTGAGCCTCGGCCAGCTCGGTCCGGCCGAGCCTTCTGGTTCAGAGTCCTCCGAGCGGCTCTTCCGCTTCAGCTTCTCCTGCTGCTCCTCATCGGGCTCGCCTGCCTCGTGCCAATGTCAGAGGAGGACTACAGCTGTGCCCTCTCCAACAACTTTGCCCGATCATTCCACCCCATGCTCAGATACACAAATGGCCCTCCTCCGCTCTGAACCACACAGACGTCATCTGCAGCGGTGCTGGTAGCATAAGGAGGGTTTGGCCAAAAGCGATCCTAAGCTAGCAAAAACAGGACCCGAATCTTGGCGAATGCCCTTGGTGCGGCAGCTTTAGCCCTCCTCTGTGTCCCATGGGTGAAAATCATGGCTCCAAAGGTGGATGGTAAACAAGGACAAGAGAAGAGCAGACAAATCTGAGCCTCAGCGCTAAAGAGGTTGAGGACCTCCAACGTTCTCTGGATGCAAGAATTCTGGGCCATTGGCTCATCCTATGCACACCCAAGACATCACTAGACCGAGCAGCTCTCCCATGGCGCTGCTCCATCCATTCAATAAAGGACTCTCCTGGGAGCCATGTTCGCATCGAGCAACCTACCAACCAACCAACCTACCAACCAGTGCTGACGAGATTTTAGAACCTTGTAACATACAGTTTTTAAGAGCTTATATGGCACCTTTCTTTTTACCTTGTTTCCTTTGGGGCATGATATTCTAACCTTTGCTTTAGAAGCACAAGCTGTAAATCTAAAGGCACTTTTTTTAAAGGTATAAAGAAAAACTGGATGTAATAAATAAGATCATGAAAGGCTTTATGTGAAAAAAAAGTTGAATGTTACAGTCAAAGAAAAGTTATTTATGTATGTACAGTTTGCTAAAGCCAAGTTTTGTTTGTATTGATTTCTTTGCATTTATTATAGATACTATAAAATATCTTGTCTGTGCTTTTTTTTCTCCCCCCCTGGAGAAATGACTCTAAATTTACATACTAAGCAGGCACTTACCATAGCACAACCTAAATGATCCTTTGTGGAGAATAAGAGAAGCTAAAACATAAGTATATATGAAAGAAAAAAAGATGGTTACAGGTAGCGCACATTTAGACGTAAATGACTCTGGATGATTTCTTTCCCCTTCCCTTCCCACAGCTAATCAAATCTCCTGATCTTTTACTCCCCAGCGTTTTTCACAGCCCCCTCTCTTCTCTATTCCCTTTGCCCAGTTGGAAGAAACCCCACATTAATCTTCTCACGGAGACCATATCTCCTCTCCATCCCAAGGATACACAGTAACTATGTGGATTTTCTTAAAGCTCTCTTGTTCACATCCCTACTCTACTCCAAAACTTTCTGTTGCTTTTCATTATCTGCTAGAAGAAATAGAGTTTTCATCCACCATTCAAGTCCAAATATAATAAGATTTTATTCTGCCCCTCCGATCTTGCCAGCCAGCAGCCATCGTGGAATTGCTTGGTACATGGAGTTTTAATCCATCCTTTAATAACTGGAAGAGGAGGATTTATATAAAGCCCAGGTTTCAGCCTTCCCTTGAACATGGAAAGCTCTGGTGCCTTGCGTGCATACTCTTGCATGCCAGTCATGGTAGGGGTGACGTGGTTGCTGTCACTTGAAGAGCACAAAGAGACAGTTTTTACATTTGCCTTTATATCCTATTAACTCCGCCCACTACCTGTCCCAGTCTAACTCCTGTGGGCATTTAGGGCACAAATCCTGCTCTACTTGGAGAATCTAAACCAAACTGAGGTACTCAACCTGAAGCTGCCTGCCATGGTTTCCATGATGATGTAGCCTGAGTGACATCTCAACTAGGGTTCCTGAGGATTATTAGATCTCCCAGTTCCTGGGGTTACTTCAGACCTTCTCATCCCATCTCTGGGGGGTACGACCTGGGAGCTTGCATTAGAAACAGACACCTGACGTGATTTTAGCCTGACCGTTGAAAAGAACTTCCCCATCCCCTCTTACCTTCACAGTTCTGTTCTTACCATTCTTTCTGTCCTCTCCGATAAGACTCAACTCACAAAGCCACCGACTCCCTGAAGACTTCGCTGACCACTGTTAGACTACATTCAAGACTTCCCACTACTGAATTTTCCTCCATGAGCGTTCTGTTTTCTTTTTTCTTTTTTTTTTTTTTTAAGATTTTATTTATTTGACAGAGATCACAAGTAGGCGGAGAGGCAGGCAGAGAGAGAGGGAAGCAGGCTCCCCGCTGAGTAGAAAGCCCGACGCGGGGCTCGATCCCAGGACCCCGAGACCACGACCTGAGCTGAAGGCAGAGGCTTTAACCTACTGAGGCTTTAACCCACTGAGCCACCCAGGTGCCCCGAGCATTCTGTTTTTTACTGTCAGATTATCCCTATCTCATTTCCCCAGAACCTCGCTCAGGGAACAGATCAGAGTTGAGTTGTTCTTATTTTAAAGAAGAGAAACCTGTTTAAGTTTCCCATCTTCCTGCTTCTGGAAAGGCTGTGAGCTGTGGCAGTGAATGGAGCTGCAGGCGCCCTCCCCTGAGATGGGGCCACGCTCCTACCTCACTTCCCTGCTACTCCTGCTCCCAAGTAGTGGGGTCGGGGCAGTACAGCCCTACAACAGACAAATGTTGCCGCTCTCAGGAAAATCACCACACAGTGAGACATTACTCATGGAGACCAGCACCAAGAGACGGCAGGGCCCTTGCTTCTCCGCATTATGATTACGTGACTGACTAGGCATCTCCCATCACCGAAGAATCAAGTGTTAAATGTGGCTGAGAAAAAACTTCGGTTTTGACTAAGAAAAATCTAATCTTTTTGTGCCTTTCTAAATAACCCTGTGAAGCACCCAGAGGGATGGGTGAGGTGCATTTCTATTTAATTTTTGAAGACTTCATCCAACGTCTGGGACAGAAGTGGAAAGTCCTGGCGGGTGGAAACATTGAAGCCGTGAGGTCCTGGCTTTCCCCAGGGGGTGATACAACCAGTCTCTTGAGAACCAAGCCAGCCACCAGTGGGTCTGGTACATCTGCCTGGAGCCCTCACACTCTTACCTGCCTCTTGAGAAAGGGGACACAGGATAGCATCAGGAGAACCCTTACCTGCACCCCAGCCAACCCTGGTAAGAAAGAAAGGATGTTTGGGGACAAGATGAGGGGGTTTAAAAGAATATTGAGGGGGCGAAAGGGCCCTCATTTCTGGAGTAAAGACTGCCACGGGCCCTGCTGTGGCCTGGAGGTAGCCGGTGATCCCGAGAGTAGGGGATGAGGAGGGGCAGGGCACAGAGGCCACTGGCTGACCGTGAACATGGTGAGATGGATGCAGGCAACCAGAAAATGTTAGAAGTGGTGAGGAAGGAGAAAATCCGTAGAGCTAACATGGAGAAATAAAGGCTTGGAGACCTAAAAGTAGTGACTTCACAAGAATTCCAAGGAAGAGTGAAAGACTTTTGGGAAAACCGCCCCTGGGGAGCAAGAGTGTTGCCTCCTGGAAAATGGGGTGGCAGCAGCTTCCCTTGTTTTTGTACGAAGAGAGGAGAGACACCTTCAAAAGGCTTGGATGAGAAATTCAGCAAGCTGAGGTCTGGGATTTCCTGTTCAAAAAGGCAGGTTGTGGTCAGCTGATTTACAGCCTATGCTCTGGGGCCAATTATTAAGAAACTAAAGCTAAAGAACTTTACTGACAAGCCACAGAAGATATCGTAAAGCAAAGAGAGGTGGAGCGGGTTGTTTTATGAAAGCTGATCGTGGCCAAAAACACAGGGTCTCCAGGCACTGGTGTGGGTGGGCCTGCGACCAGCCGTGCTGGGTTGGATTCCTTCCCCGCTGCCCACCGGTCTGGCATTACCAGATGTATCCTCGGGGAACTATGGGGAAGGAAGAGGCCCGGAGGGCGCCCTGAATAGGTCCAGACACACCAGGCAGAGCACATTCCCTTCCTGTCACGGTGTTTATCAAATGCCCACTGTGGTGCGTGACCTGCGCCAGAGCTCAGGAGGCCGGTCTCAGCCAGGAGGTGTCCAGAGGGACACCATCACTTCTTGTGCAACCCTCACAGGTCCTTTGAATATGGAAGAATGTGTACTTGGCTCCACCAGTGATGTCTTGAAACCGGGGTTCAAGGTCAATGAGACTAGAAGGGAACCAAACAGAAACAGTGTTTGATTTAGGGGAGAAAAGGAAAATTAAATGTATTGCATCTGTCTTTGTCATTTCCTAGCAGCAAATTTCTTCTTTTCGCTTCTTCGTCACCTGATCTATGTGACAGTGGTGTGTGTTTCTGAAGAGCATGAGTGTTCATCTGCAGACGCAGGGACAGGTGAGGCGATGGATGGGCATGGAAGCCGTTTGTCGTGAGCAGCAAGCACCAAGTTCAAGTGACGCGAAGGGACATTTTACCAAGGGTGGTCATTTCTATTTTAGATTTAATAATACACTGTGATAAGAGGCTGATTGTCAGACCTCCATTAATCCAGAGACAATGAAACTGAAAAGGAATGGCTTTTATTTTTCAGCTCCTGGCTTCTCACTGACGTCTCCCTCAGAGTTTAAAATCTCTTCCAGGAATCCATTTGGGAATGCCACAGAGGAGCCTGAATTTGGGGAAGAATCCTCATTCATATGAGTCAGTGAAAGAGCAGGTGAATCGGGGGCATTTTCTGCCACTGGGCAGGACATTGGGCAAGGGCAGGCTCTGGAGGAATTCACTGGAACTGCTGAGGAAGGAGAATCTTGGAAGGCTCGAGAAGTCGGACAGTTGAGAATTGCTAATAAAAAACACAGCGACATGCTGTAACCCCATACCATTTGCTGAACAACGAGGAACATTTAATCTGGGGAGCCGAGGAAGCCAGTTGGGACAGGGGTATAATCCTTCTAAAATATAAAGGTCACAGGAAAATAAATCAACCTTGCCATTTTTTTTTTTTAAACCTGTCACCTAATACAGGAGCAGGAACATAACCGAATTTGAAAACTCCCATTTATCAGAACACAATCCTTGGTAGGCTGTGGTACCCATGACGGACGGCATCAGTGCCACCGGCGGTGGAGAAGAAATCCCGGTCCTCCTGCCCCACAGTAGGGTCGGCGCCTCACAGATGTGCTTTCCAAGCCCAGGCCCGAATCCTGCTGGACACATTCTTGAGGCAGTTGCTGAGCTCGGAAAGTGAGGCTACCAAGCAACTGTCAACCCTGCCGAGCGTCCCCAGCGGTCCCCCCAACCCCAACCCGCCCAGCACAGCTCACCTCCCTCCCCTTCCCCACTTCCACGGGATTCGCAGGTTGACCGGAAACTGCAGGGGTGCGTTCTGTCCGGGCCAGGGCCCTCCAGGTCTGGTTCGGGTCTAGGACGTCTGTGCTACCTGAAAACTCATTAGCGAAGTCCCACTCTGGGCTCTAGGCCACCACCTGCCCCAGATTTCTCCATCTTGGGACTGGTTCCCTCTCCCTCGCTGGCCACGGACACCATGTTCGTTATAAGCGATTTTCCCATCTTCCCCCACAGACTTGTCCATTTCATCAAATAAGTATCCGCATAAATCTGGATTTTTGTTCTGGACTCTGGTGTGCTGTTGACCTGTCTTTCCACTGCTGTCTTAATTGTAGCAGTATATGGAATTATATGGAATAACTGATTACAAACATAATGTGTATATATATATTATATCCGACTACAAAGTTATAATGTATATATCTATATTATATCTAACTACATATTGATATAACATAGATATATAGTAAATAGTATAAATATGACCACTAATATACTGACTGGCACGGTATATCAGTTACTTTATTATAGATTTTATTTATTTATTTGACAGCGATTTAGAGAGAGCACAAGCGGGCAGAGTGGCAGCAGAGGAGGCCGAGAGAGAAGCAGACTCCCCGCTGAGCGAGGAGCCCAATGTGGGACTCGATCCCAGGACTCTGGGATC